GTTCATATAGATAACATGAAAAGATCCAGGATTATTGATCAGACCAGAGGGACAACAACTACCGTATGTTCACGGTTTCATGGTGAATAAAACGGGAGTTTAAGATTTACAGCTCACTGCTTTTTGTTTGATTAACATTTTATAGAGACCAAACATCTGTGGATTTAGGACAAGGATTTGCTGTAAGTGTTTTCATCCCAAAACCACTAAACCAGATTCTTCTGTGACTTGAACTGTTATGGATAAACCACTGTCTTATTGTTTTTCTCTTACTAATTTATTTTACTTTTAACAGTTTAGGGCTTGAAATGTTGTTTTGTAACTTTTTGGAGAAAGCTGTCTTTATGTAGGATTGATGAGTAATTTAAAAGTAGTGTTTGTGTGAGCATGTGCTACAAATGTTCCAGTTGTTGTTTTGATGTTGATTGTGTGCATGTGAGGTAATAAACAACTGCGACTTGTTCTTTATTTAGTGTTTGTTTGTTTACAGTTTAATTAAAGGCCAAACATTTCACAGGGACACCTGGACAGGTCTCCAGTCCATCACAGGGACACCTGGACAGGTCTCCAGTCCATCACAGGGACACATACCCATCATAACATGCATATTTTTGGTCTGTGGGAGGAAACCGGAGTACCTGGATAAAACCCACGCAGCACGGAGAGAACATGCAAACTCCACCCAGAAAGGTCCTCCAGCTGGGATTTGAACCAGCGACCTGCTCACTGAAAGGTAGCAGCTCTCCCAGCTGCACCACCATCTGCCAACAAAGATAATTTCATGTGTACAAATGATAGAACTGTACTTAAACTACAAAAATAACCGTCTTGTGATCCACGCTGTTTGTTTTTAATGACTCCACTGCAGCCACATCAAATAATAACAGTTTCTAATAAATTGACCAGTTACAATAATTTTGTTGTGATTACCTCATGTGGTCGTCTTGAACTGGATTGACTCTGAATACTAACCAGTTGTACATTTACATCCAATTATTATTTTTGGAAAGTTTCATTAAAATCCATTCAGTGGTTTATGAAACATTTATGAAACATTTAGCCCGAGTTGGCTCCACATAATTAATGTTAAAATAATAATAATAATCTTGCAAAGAATGCAGCGGGATCTGTTTCAACTAATCCCACTGCATATTCTCTCTTAATAAATGTAACTGGAGTGACTTAAAACCAGTGCTGTGCATTCAACCAAGTTGGCTCTAAAGGTGAATCCGTTTTTAATGATTTATTTCTGCAAGTTTTATTAAAATTCCTGCAGAGGTTCACAACAGATTTGTTAATTGACAAACAGAATTTCTACATACTGTATTTATTAGGCAGCATAGGGACTGAGGACTATTTTTATAGTAATTTTATTAGCACTTTTAATGTTAAAAGTTAAACATAACCATGTGGAATTGTTCTCAATGATTTTAATTTTTTTAATGTTTTGAAAGCAAAATAGTAATTTGCTTTGACTCAGACTTTAGCAATAAACCGTATTTTAAATACAAGGGGGAAAATCAGTTTTAAACACGTCACCAAAACTAATTCTTGCTCCAACCTTGCGTGCAGGTTTGACAGTGTTTCCTTGTACACGCGTGTTTTACTGGAGCTGTTTTCATGAGCGTGGAGGCTCTGCTGCTTTCCTCTTTTTCTACTGGTAATAGCATTTTCCTGCCAAACGTGCTGTAAAGTCCAGAGTTTATGGCTCGTCTGAGGCTTTAGTTGCTGCAGTGATCGCTCTCGCACCAAATCTAATCACTGGTCGTTACAGGCCTCAGCGCTGAACTCCTGCTCGCGTCTTTGTTTCTCATCGGCTACGAAAAGAAGTTTTCCAGGTTTGATATGGCTCAGGCATCGGACTGAAAGAGTTTAAATCATTTGCAACACTCTGGTGTTGTGTTATCCATGAGGCTTTTGTGCCTTACACAAGTTTACTAGCTGCAAGCACTTTACAGGAATTATACAATAAATACATGTTTACAAGAAATGCTGTATTTAGCTACTGTACATATAAGAGACAGATCTTTAAAAACCTCAGTGTCGACTTCTTTTTGACAGTCATCCGTTTCACTCCTTGAAGGAATGCATATTGCCCGTTGCTGCTCATGTCACAGTTTTAAACTTGATGTCTAATGATGAGAGATGGACTCGTACCGGTCAAACCTTGTAAATAAATATAATTAAAAACAATATTGTGACGATGCGAGACAGTGCTCAAACTATTTGTTGTGTCTGAGCTAATACTAAATATAGAATGGTCATATCTTTGCTTAACATCTGTAAGTGAGTGAGTTACACCGATTGTCTGCTTAGTTAGAGGTCAACTGAACTGCGGTGACCCCCAGTGTTGCAGTACAATCACAATACACTATGCTCAGCTACTACCACATCATACTTTAGCCCAATATCTGAACAAGTGAGGTGGAAACACACTTGAACAATAACAGTTAATAAAACAAATATTAACCTGCATTAAATACGTTAAGTAAACATGTAAATCAAGTCCTGAGTATGCAAACTTTCAGGCTGGTTAATAACCTGGAGCTGGGACTTCAGTGACATTGATCTAATTTTGGTGCGGTAGTAACTCTCATTTACAACGCTTTGAAAAAAGTGACATTAGCAAGATTGTGCATGATGTTATTTTAAAGATTTGACTAAAACTGTAACGACTCAACAAATGATGAACTTACGTCTAAAACTCCTACATGAAAGGTGGCGGGCGACGTGCATTCCTTCAAGGATTGATTTAATTAATAATGTTTAAGGTGCTGCAGTTGGTGTTTCTAATAATATAAATGCTTATATTTATTATTAATTATAAATCTTTATTACAAATCAAAAAATATAAATGTTGACAAGTTTTAGTCAAACGGAATTCTGCATTAAAGCAGATATAAATATGATGTATAATATTATTAGTGATGTCAAAACGTTAAGCCAACAAACACATTTATTTCTAATTATTTGCCTTCAATAATGAGTGAAAATCACTCAGAGCCTAAATAACTATTATAACGTGTCTGTTTGTTGTGACGTCAGGAATAACTATTATAACGTGTCTCAGTTTGTTGTGACGTCAGGAATAACTATTATAATAGTGTTATTATTATAGTGTTGAAGGAATGTGCTGATCAGCTCTGCGAGGTGCTGGCAGACATCTTTAACACCTCACTTACCCTGGAGACAGTTCCCACCTGCCTGAAGACTGCCACTATCATCCCAGTCCCAAAGAGCTCTACAGTGACTGGTCTGAATGACTATCGGCCAGTGGCCCTCACCCCGATAGTCACTAAATGCTTCGAAAAACTGGTCATGACTCACATCAAAACAACCATCAACATCAACGAGGA